TTAAAAAATATATTTAAATCTCTTTTCTTTTCCTGAGGAGAGTGGTGAGGCTCCGCCTCCCTTGCCTCTAGTGACTGCACGTCCCTGGATGGAAGCCTATGGTCATTATGGATTTTGCAACAAGGATATAATGGTTTTAATACTATGAATGTTGATGCACATTAAATGCCATCTTTTTTAGAGACATGTATAGCTTGAAATTTGGGGGAATTGGATGCCACAATGCTATCATCTTCCTCATACCAAATATTTTGCCAAACTTCATGCAACTGCCAAATATTAATTTTCCTATTCTTTCTTATTCTAATCCCAGGTATATGAATGCCCTAGATGCTTCAGTTACAGATTTCTCACAATACATGGAGTTCAAGGAAATTCTAAGGACCCCAGAAGATTTGCAAAAAATTGTGAAAAGTTCAGATCGAAAAAGCAATGGTAAGGGCTTTGTGTCTGGAACCCAGACCAGGCCATGAAATCAACTTTAAGGATGCCTAACACTACTTTTACTGAGATTGGTTATAACAACTATTTATCAGGTTTGGCCTTCCTCCCACTTCAGCTCCCCCCTCCTCCTCAGGGAGCCATCTCTCTGAGCTGCTTTCAAACGTAATCTTAAAGCTTGTTCTTAAAACTTGGTGTTGCACAGCCAGAATTACCCCCTCTCTGTCTTTCTTCAACTTTTCTGTTCTTAGCCATTGCCATGTTCTGTAATTGTCTCTCTGCCTTCTATTTTTTTAATGTACTGGCCACGCCTTGCCATGCCTCTTTTTTGTTGTTTATTTGGTCTTTCTTGTATGACAATTTGGTCACTCCAGTACTCAGTAAGCCTTCCTGTTATACCTGCTTTTTCATTGTCCGTCAGATATTTTTCCAATGCCTTTTTTTTCTTCTTCAATCATATGATGTACTTGCAAAATTCCATGCCTACCTATTTTTCTTAGTAAGTAGAGTCTGTCAACATTGCTTATGAGGATGAAGGGAACAATCTATTGTCATTATTTTTCTGGACTTCCTATCCAGGGATTTAATTCTGCTTGAGACCAATCCTCTATTCCAACTGTGCATCTAATGTCTTTTCATCTGTTTTTTTTTAATTGCACTCAGATTGGTTTTGCTGTAAATATTCTGATTGTGATGGTTTTTGGAGTTACAAAATTTCATAATCTATAATTGCATGCAAAAGGTCCAGTCGTGTCTGACTCCAGAGCGTGGTGCTCATCTCTATTTCTTGGCTGAGGGAGCCAGTGTTGTCTGAAGACATTTTCTGTAGTCATGCAAAGATGCCTTATTCACCAAGCTGGCAGAACCACCAATGAGGGTGAAAACTATTGATGCAGACTTGGATGTGGGGGGCAAGTTTTTATTGTACAATCCCCCCTCATCTCACTTTATGACCCTCGATACTCTTTGAAACTCTGTTTAGCTTCCCTCTCTAGATGCTTCATCTCCCACCACACAAAACAAAATAACCTGGAACTTCTAGAAACATTTTACAAAGGGTCACACATGATCAAACCCATGCAATTTTTTTTCTTTCATTTTGACTTTCATGTTATTAATATTCCTACTCAGAAAACTAACAGGCTAATGCATGCAAGAATATTTTTACCAAAACATAGATCTCTCCTCACTGAGCAAATTCACAGATAGCAGTAACAAGAATAGTATGTGTTGGTTTTGTTCTGTGTTTCTCAACTTCAGCAAAATTAAAATGTGTGGACTTCAACTCCCAGAACTCCCCAGCTAGCAGCATTCCACTTATAATAAATATGCAGATTTAAGCCTTGCATTGGTGTCTCACCACTTACCAATTCTTAGAACTTGGGGCAGGAGGAAGTTGAACTTAAGAAGCTTGTGGATGATTGGATAACTACAAATAGAAAATTGAATTCCCGCATGTACATGAAACTGGACAGTATTTAAGACAACTTTAACATAAGTGAACATTTCTCTCTTACATATCTCTGATCCACTGGAACAGATGAGTACTCACGCTCCTTAAACCAGAGTGAATGGAATGTTACACTTTGAGCTGTTGGTTATTGGATATAATAAACTTTTCAAGTTGTCATGCCATTGCAACATAATGGAAGAAATCTGAACTGGGAATATGTCTATGGAGATTCTCAATAATCCAGGTCATGGTTGTCCCAAAGGTGCTTTTCCAAAAGGCAACTGGACTTTCTTGGTTTTTTCCTTGAAATGTTCAGTTCTGAAGAAGTTTCTTGGATGAGAAGTGAAACATTTTCCAGGAAAACCCCCCAAGAAAGTCCAGTTGTCTTTTGGAAATCATCTTTGGGTTTGGACTGGAAAGTATCTGTACAGAAGAGCATGATGTTGAATGACTTCTCTGCCTGCTATATTCTCTCTAGAGCAGGGGTATCAAACTCACAGTCCATTGGCATACGTGACATGCTGGCCATGCCCACCCCTGGTATAGCGAAGGGGGCAAAAGTTGCAATATGTCACGTAATGACAATGTGTCATTGCGAGTTTGACATCCCTGCTCCATAGGAAATGGATATTCTTTCTTCCCAAATCCCTTCCTCCTTTAGGATCCATGGATGAGTTGGTAGGCAGAGAGATCTATTCAGGATCAGCAGAAATACAAACAGAAGCAAAGAAAGAGTCATAGGTCCTTTCAAGGCTGCTGGATTAGGAGAAAAGAAGATGAGAACTGCTAAGCCTTTCCAGTTATAAAGGAATGGAGAAAGGAAAGTTCCAACCATAAAAGTGGGATAGGTACTAATTCTGGTAAGTTCAGAAGCCAACCACCTGAAACCAGATACTCTGTTCCTGTAACAGGGGACAGGTGGAAACCCTTCCTGTGTCACAGTAGCAAGATGTCTCAAGGACATTGCACTGTGCAGACGGGACAAAGAATCACAAAGAATAAACCTTGATCTCACCATAAAAAGTGCAGAAAAGAAAATAGAAAAAAAAATAAGAATATAGTAAATAAAAAGAAAAGATATAAAGAAATGGCTTTCTTCTTTTTCACACGTATAAACAATTTTAGTAACTTAATGGCATGGCCCAGGCTTAGGACTCAGATTCTGAGATTGAATGTCAGGGTTCCAAATAGCATCCAAAAGTAAATCAGAGTCCAAGGCAAAATATTGCCCAAAGTTCCAATTTATTAAGCGAGCCATAATGGCACATCTGGGAAAACCTGAATCTGAAGACTCCCCGGTTTTCCACATCTAGTTGAAAGTTCAAGAACTTGCCCCCACACCCACAAGTCCAACACATGATCCAATCTTCCACTGCCATGCTGGCAGTTCCACCCATCCAGTTCCGGTCAGGTGCAGAGGTGCAAAGACAAAGGATGACCTTGGCTTTCTAAAAAGAATTTTGTTATGGCTACATAGCATCTCACTCCTACAATTCCCCCTCCCATTTCCCCACAATAGAAAATACATAGTAGAATAATAGAAAATGTGGCAGGCCAAAGATCAAGAAAAGAAAAGAAAAAAGGTGGCTGCAGGCCTGCCACTGAATCTGAGTCTGATCCTGAAGAAGCTGCTTCCGTTCAGCCTGGAAGAACAGAGCCAGGAATCACGTGAGACTGATCAAACATAGGGACCAGCCAAGCAGCTGGAAAAATCAGATGAAGTTGGTGTAATGCCTTCCAATCCATGTATCACGGGGCTGTCAAACTTGCAGCCAACGAGCTGCATGCGTCACACACTGGCCATGCCCACGTCCGGTTTAGCTAAGGGGGAAAAAGTCCTGATACATCACATCACAACACTGTGACAATGCAAGTTTGACACCCCTGATGTACCAGATGAGTAGAGAAGAGATCAGCACAGTGAAGTTTATTACAATGCTGTCCAAGCAAAAAAAAATAAACATTATTGACAGCTGACTGTAGCCTTATTTAAGAACCAGTCCTGAATCAGGCTCTCTTTGTTGGAGATAACTTCTGACTGTATGGCTGTGCATGACAATCATAAGTGGAGTGTTCTCTTTAAACTGTCTTCTTTGGACTGTCTGATAATCTGGACCTAGCTCTTTAAAACTTGCACTGAATTTGAACTCTTCTTCTGAGTGCCCCTATTTCAAAACAAATGTTGCAGGCAAGTGTTTGACTTGTTTACATTCCTTTGCTTCATTTTTAGCTTTTCAGCCTTGAAGTAAAACTGATAATTTCCTGAAAAACCATATGTGTCAGTGAGACTGAAACTTGAGAGAGGACGCTTATCATCTTCTTTTAAGATACAGCAAATGATCTCTTTTTCCCATATCCCATCTCTTATCTATAAACAAATCCTTTAAAACCTTGTCATTTCAACCCCAATCAGCCATTGGGGATTGCCAGAGATAACAACATATCTAGCTACACCTTGATCAAATAAGTCAGCTTTATATTTATATACTGCCTCTGGAAGCTGTGAATGCTCCAACACTGAAAGTTTTTAAATGTTTAAATGTTTATTGCATTTGTATGCTGCCCTATCCCGAGAGACTCAGGGCGGCTAACAAGCAAGGGGGAAGGGAAATACAAACAAAAGACAAAACAGGCAAGTTAAAAACAGAGCAACAGTCACAACAGTTTAAATGGGGCCAGGAACTCATCAGCCCCAGGCCTGCCGGAACAGCCAGGTCTTAGTGGCTTTGCGGAAAGCCGGAAGGGTGGTGAGGGTCCAGATTTCCACGAGATCGTTCCAGAGGGCTGGAGCAGCCACAGAGAAGGCCCTCCCCCGAGGAGTCGACAGTCAACATTGGCTAGCTGATGGTATTAGGAGGAGGCCTAATCAGTGGGATCTAATTGGTCGTAGGGAGGTGATTGGCAGGTGGCGGTCTCTCAAGTACCCAGGTCCAATACCATGTAGGGCTTTAAAAGTAGCGACTAGCACCTTGAAGCATGTCCGGAGACCAACAGGCAGCCAGTGCAGCTTGCGGAGGATAGGTGTGATGTGGGTATACCGAGGTGCACCCACAATCGCTCGCGCGGCTGCATTCTGGACAAGCTGAAGTCTCCGAATGCTCTTCAAGGGCAGCCCCATGTAGAGCGTGTTACAGTAGTCCAGTCTTGAGGTCACAAGGGCGTGAGTGACTGTTCTAAGGGCCTCCCGGTTCAGGTAGGGTCGCAATTGGTGCACCAGTCGAACCTGGGCAAATGCCCTCCTGGTCACAGCCGACAAATGATGTTCTAAAGTCAGCTGTGGGTCCAGGAGGACTCCCAAATTGCAAACCCTGTCTGAGGGGCGTAGAATTTGACCCCCCAGCCTGAGAGATGGAGTACAAGGCCAATCTTTGGGAGGGAACAATAATAGCCACTCGGTCTTGTCGGGATTGAGTGCAAGCTTGTTCATCCCCATCCAGATCCTGACAGCCTCCAGGCACTGACACATCACTTCAACCGCTTCACTGAGTTGGCACGGGGTGGACAGATACAACTGTGTATCGTCCGCATATTGGTGGTATTTTATCCCATGTGGACGAATGATCTCACCCAGCGGCTTCATGTAGATATTAAACAGGAGGGGGGACAGGACCGAACCCTGCGGCACCCCATAGTTAAGGGGCCTAGGGGTCGATCTCTGCCCTCCGACCAACACCGACTGCGACCTGTCCGAGAGGTAGGACGAGAACCACCGAAGAACGGTGCCTCCCACTCCCACCTCCTGCAACCGCCGCAGAAGGACACCATGGTCGATGGTATCGAAGACCGCTGAGAGGTCAAGGAGCACTAGGATGGAAGCATGGCCCCCATCCCTGGCTCTCCAGAGATCATCGATCAGCGCGACCAAAGCAGTTTCTGTGCTGTAGCCAGGCCTGAAACCAGACTGAAAGGAATCCAGATAATCAGTTTCATCCAAGGACCGCCGGAGCTGAAAGGCCACCACTTTCTCAACATCCTTCCCAACAAAGGGGAGGTTGGAAACTGGACGATAGTTACTCAAGATGGCTGGATCCAAAGATGGCTTCTTCAGGAGGGGTCTCACCACTGCCGCCTTTAGGAGGGGCAGGAAGGATCCCTCCCAGAGAGAGGTGCTAACTATCGTCTGGATCCAGCTGCGTGTCACCTCCCTGCTGTTCGCGACCAGCCAGGAGGGACACGGGTCCAGTATACAAGTGGAGGCACTCACAGCTCCCATGGCCTTGTCCACTTCCTCAGGCGTGACAAGTTGAAACTCAGTCCATAAATTTCACTCAAGACCTTCCCTCGGTACCTCGGCTGGCTCTGAGCAATTGGAGTCCAAGTCTGTCCAAATCCGAGCGACTTTATCCACTAGAAACTGAACAAACTCCTCAGCTCTATCTTGTAAAGGGTCATCCGGATCCCTCCCTTTCAAGAGGGAGCGGGTTATTCTAAACAAGGCGGCTGGGCGCGATTCAGCGGACGCAATAAGAGCGGCAAAATGAGCACATTTCGACACCCGTATTGCCATGAGATAGGCTCTGATAAAGGCTCTCATCAGTGCTTGGTCTGACTCAGACTTACTGGCCCTCCAGTGGTGTTCTAGGCATCTCTCTTTAATAAGAGATTGAACAACCATTTGTTTGAAATGGTATAGGGTTTCCTGCCTAAGCAGGGGATTGGACTTGAAGACCTTCAAGGTCCCTTCCTACTCTGTTTATTCTGTTCTGTTCTCCTCTGCTCTATTCTAATTTGTATTCCTTTTATTTTTAAAGAAACTTTATCTTGAAATAATGTCCTAAAACTTGATTTCTTTACATATTTTCTTTGACCCTTCAAGCCTCTTTTGTAAATCCAATATATGAAAATTAGCCAGATTATTCTTTTGGTTTGTTATTTGTATAGCTGTCTAAATTATCAACCAGGTTCTTTTGTATGTCCAGTAAGTCTTTTTCTGTATCTTTCCTGTAGTTTGTCATTTTTAAACCAGTCTCACTTTTGTCCAGTAAAACTTTTTCCTCTTCCATAATATTTTTAAACACGGTCTATCTATGGAGGTAGACTCGCTTAAAATTAGCTTCTGGATTTATTGTTCAAAAATATCCTTCAATATATCCAATGTTAAACCATTTTGCTTTATTCTGAATTAATGTCAAATTTAGGTAGTATTGGGTAGTATTGGGATTTTTAGTTCTTTCTAGTTCTCTCTAGTGTCCAACTTCAAGGTTTTAGTTTAGCATTTAAAATAAAGTATTCACAAGAAAAGTGTGCTCTCATAGGACAGATTATTTTGATTAATTCCAAAATCTTATTTCCAATTTATCTGGACCCTTAGTTCAGTTGTAACTTTCTAAAATCAAAATTTTAACCATCCTTTTGCAGTTTATTCCAGTTTTTTAAAAGAATAAAGTATTCTTTATTGATCAAGTGTGATTGGACACAAGGAATTTGCCTCTGGTACATAAGCTCTCAGTGTACATACAAACAACAAAGTAATATAAACATAAATTACCAATAGCAGAAGGTAAAAAGAAGGATGAGAAGGATAATAGTAACACTGACCTACTAAACGGATAAATATCTTTAGATATAAGACAATGCAGTGGGAATTGGTGTTTAACCAATTTCGTTGTATTTAAGTACAGTGACAATAAAGATTATACTTATACTTTAGCAGAGCAATGGCATGAGATGACATGTGTCTAGTTGTTTTGGCATGCAATGCCCTATAGTGGCATCCTGAGGGGAGATGTTGAAACAGTTTATATTCAGGATGTGACACACAGAAAGCTTAAAGCTTGTATTTAAAACTTATTTTACTAAGGATTGAACAAGGTCTGTAAGGCATTTACAGTTCTGTAAAAGGGCCTAATAGCTGAAAAGCAGTTAACAAGCATTTCTAACTGTAGTTTTATTGTAAAGGGCCTGGTATTGTGATTTAATCTTGAAGGTCTTCCATTTCCCTGATGGAAGCAGTAAGGTCTTTTTAATGATTTCCTTTATTTTGAGAATTGTCAGTAGATTAAATGTGGTTTGTATGTGACATGTCTAGGGGGTGAATGAGACAATATAAGGAATAAAGTTAAGAAGGAATCTGATTTATTATAATGTTCCTACAGGAGCAACTTATATGGAGCACATGAGGGTGATCTCAAAATTTATCCTTGTCCAGAGAGGAATTATGAAGAGTTGGTCAACTTGCTGGCTCTCCATTTTTCTGTAATTGTTGACTCCACTAAAATATATCTAATACGTTTCTTTAACAATAAAATAGAGGAAGTCCATACTCTTTTTTTTTTTTTAATGGAACGCTTCACGAATTTGCGTGTCATCCTTGCGCAGGGGCCATGCTAATCTTCTCTGTATCGTTCCAATTTTAGTATATGTGCTGCCGAAGCAAGCACAGTCCATACTCTTTCTTGATAACCATCAGAATACTAAATTTCAACTTTTGTATTAACCTCTCTGGTTTTGCTTATTTGGTTTTTTTTTAGTGTACTAGATTCCCAATAGTTTTACTGCTTTAATGTTATGTCATGTTCTAAACATAAGATTTTTCTTTTAAAAATATAGTAAAATATCTATTACTTCTTATTTCTCACCCCGTCTTACTTTTTTTAACAGTAATCATCACATGTGGTACTCCAGATGATATCAAAATAGCCCTTGGGGACAAAGGAGTGGATGAAGATATAGTTTTCATCCTGATGGATCTTCACAGGTACAAATTTCATAAAACAAATAAAGAATAATAAAAGAAAGCCATGGAATCTGGATACAGATGTGTTTATTCCTTCAGCCAAGATACTACTCAGAACTCTCAGGATCCTAGATTGAGGAAGACAAATACCACTCATAAGGGGGTGAAGGGAATTTTATACGTATTCTATTCCAAAGTAGCTCTCAAATTAAACTTATATTAAAGTTCTGTAAAACTTATGCAAATGAATATTTGATTTACGATCAGTGAATTTCCTTATGGAGGGAGAGTAATTTCTTCTCCACTGATGTCCAAGTTAATAGTTTTTATGCTCGAAGCCTGAGAGGGTAGTATTTGTTTTAAAATCTGTGATTTCCAGCATGATTTGTTATGTACTGCTGAGGCATAATGCTGCAAGGCCGAAGTTATGTACTCTAGGAAAAAATTATCTACTAAAGTTCATTAATAAAAGAGACCAGCAACACCCTTCCATCCAAAGCATAACTTGGCTGCGATTCTTTAAAAAGGGCCTGTGTATAACCCCAGGTTTATGCAAAGAAAATATGCATATAATCTGTGAGGCTAGGAATAGTAGTGATAGAGGTAATAAAAGTAGAACTACAAAAACAATGGTTTATTTGCAAGCAAAAGCTCTTTGGAGAAAAAAGATTACTGTTGTTATTTGAAGTGCTACCTTTCTTGGCCTTGTTTCCCATAGCACTTCTTGCTTTGCAGTATTATAAACATTCTTTTGTTTTCTAAGCATTTCATGGTGTAACTGGCATTTTTACTGCTTCTCTAAGGAGATTCAGGAAAGATGACTGGAAGGGGTGTGATCTGACCCGATTTTTCTTTTTCAGTACTGTTATGGTATTTCCCACCATTTGTTTAAGGATTTAAGGGGATAAGCAATGGAGTTTGCATCCATATAATTTATGTTCCTGCACATTAGGTTTTCTTAGGGTTTTGCTACTTATCTGAGACGCTTATTAACAAAATGCAGTCTTTGTGTCTTGTGCAAGACTAGAAAGAAGGCAATTATAGGCCTGAGAGCTTTTGTCATCATGTTGTAAATCTTCTGACACTAGCCAAGGCCAAGATTTAACAAACAGCAGCAAAGGCTTGGAGGGTTCAAAGAGAGGCTGCTAGCCTTATAAATTATATCAGTGCCACAAGACTACTAGCTTGAAGAATGGAGGCTGGAAAACTGAATATAATAATTGAAAACTAACTGTGGTTCATTAATTAGAGAATTTAATGAAGCTGTTCCTAAATATTAGTTCTCCTAGAACTAAGGAGAAAATTCCAAACGGTGATCACGAACAATAAACCAGTGGAATGGCTTGCATTCAGAAGTTGTGGGTGACCCATCACTGGAGACTTTCAGGAAGAGACTGGACAGCCATTTGTCTGAAATGGTATAGACTCTCCTGCTCGAGCAGGGGATTGGATTAGATGACCTCCGATGTCCCTTCCAACTCTGTTATGCTATATAGGAGATTAGAAAGATAGGAGTAGAAGTATTTATAGTGACAATGGGCTTTGATCATGAAGCATGTTAGATATGCAAATTGAGGTGCTGTTGCCATGGGGTTGTGTGAAATCCAAAGTGGACTTGGATCATGAGGTGCATGTTTGATGTGCAGATCTTCTTAGATGTGGAATTTTATGAGGAAGCCTGACATAGTATTGTGATTTAGGAGATTTCCTTATCTTGAGGGGATTTTGCTTCCTGCCTGGCTTCTTGAAAGAACATTTTTTTGTCATCTTTAGCCTCCATAAGGTGATAAGCTTTTTAGATATCTCTATAATTTTGTTTGTGACTTTTGCCTGTGATAGGGATGACTCAGGTGGCAAGTGGGTATTTTTCTTCCAACAGAAGTAATCCAGTACATCTATGGCAAGGATTGAGATAACTTTCTTGCTACTCACAAGAAAGGTTATTTGATTCATTTGGTGGATTTAGGCATCCCTAGTTGTTTTTCCTGTAAATGAACCATAATTTTTTTTGGAGGCTCTAGTAGGAATACAGCTATCATATACTGTTGACTGAACGGTATACAGTTTCTATCTCATATGGTCTCCTATTCCACCAAATGGACAGTTTTTGTGAGGGGCATATACTATATGCTACAGTGAGGCATGAAGGAGATATCCACCCAGCCGGACAGATCATCCCTTTTTGGACAATGGGGTGACAGATGTCTTACCAAATGGTCCTTGCATCTATTCAGGAATCAAATTGATTATAAACTAAGTAGCAGTAGAAGAAAAAATATTTCCCGAACAATTCTGTCGAGCCCAGAGACATGTTCAGACAGATTTTGCGTTCAAGAGCATCAATCTGAAATGAGAAAGAGAGAGGCTGAATTAGTGGAGGATTATTTGACTACCTGGAGAGCAAAAGCAATACGCCAGAAATTCTTGACTTTGGCAAAAGTCCCAGAAGTAGAAGGAATGTCAACAGAAAAAGTGAAGTCCCAGAAAGCAAGGCTTCTTAAAAAAGGGTGAGTCAGAGACAGTGATGTGCGGTGAGGTTTATGGCTGGTGAGGCAGCAATTTTTTTAGACTTGTGGACTCTAACTCCCAGAATTCCACAGCCAGGCATGCTCATTTCCGATTTAAAGCAACAGCATTTGTT